GCATCGCGGGGCTGATGACTTCCGAGACTGAATAAATGACGGGTTGGAATCAACAGCCACGTCTCCGTGGCGAAAAGGATCCCTCGAGTTCGTGAACATCGAATATGTTTTGACACAGAGAGGGATGATCTCCGCCAGGTTAACTTGCCCAAGGAATGAATACCCCACCGGATTTCAAACCACCTAATAGAGGTAATTTGTTAAGTTCCCGGATGCACAACGGCTCTCCGACCGCTGCCGGTTATTCACATGATGTTGATGATGACACATATCTGCACGTACCATTTTCTAGATACCGTATATACTCACCTTCATCTTTATAATGTGGGCGATGATGGCTCTCCACAGCTTCTTGCCTTTTGTTTTTCTAAGTAGTTTTTTTTTAACTTTCAACATGACACTTTATTTTTGTTTTGTCCTCCATTCGCACAATCTCGTTAAAGAAGTTACTTTTTTGTTTTCTCCTGCTGTGCCTGAACTCCGCATGCCTTATTAGTGTTAAATTCGCTAAGTTCTCTTTCCTCGTTATGTCCCCCAGAGACTTCGATTGTCTCGTTCTAATTGTAAGTATATGTTTCTATGTAGTTTTATTTTCCTTAAAACATCATTGTTACTCACATATTCTCATCATTTGTCGAGTTAAATCGAAGTGTCTTCAAATCTCTTTTACATCTCATCTGAAGACATTGTCCGGCATTAATAGTTCTATCATAAGTTAGATATTAAATAGAAGTTTAGCACTCTTGTCTTTTTAAGACATTTTTATGTTTATACATTCTTTTTATAGATACAAATATTTAATTAAATGCTCTGTCTAAGTGATCGCGATTCCCTATACTATTTCTCTGTACTGATCACTCCTCTGATTACTATTGAGGGTTACATCTTATGTTATAGTGTCTTTGCCGACACTGGGATTTGAACACAGATTGCCAGTGAGTAAACACAGGCGATTTCATTTCTGATAAGTAAATCGAAAAGGAAAGATATATATGGGAATTAGCGTGGCGTCTAAGGGATCGCGATTCCCTATACTATTTCTCTGTACTGATCACTCCCCTGATTACTATTGAGGGTTACATCTTATGTTGTAAGCGGATATAGTGTCTTTGCCGACACTGGGGTTTGAACACAGATCACCAGTGAGCAAACACAGGTAATTCCATATCTAATAAATATAACACGTGATCGAAAAGGAAAGATATATATGGGAATTAGCGTGGCGTCTAAGTGATCGCGATTCCCTATACTATTTCTCTATACTGATCACTCCTCAGATTACTATTGAGGGTTACATCTTATGTTGTATACGGATATAGTGTCTTTGCCGACACTGGGGTTTGAACACAGATTGCCAGTGAGCAAACACAGGCGCTTTCATATCTAATAAGTCTACCACGTGATCGCAAAGGAAAGGTATATATGGGAATTAGCGTGGCGTCTAAGTGATCGCGATTCTCAATACTATCCTCTATATTATTTCTTTATACTGATCACTCCTCTGATTACTATTTGGCGGTTACTATTCGAACAATTATTAATAGTACGAATATTATTCGTAGGATTTACTACTAGTACCTGTCATTCCAAAGTCTTTACTACAACAAACATTACGAACATGATAACGAGCATTCGTTGACATCACAAAAGTGACAACGACAAAGGCGTTTGACATCATAAAAATAGGTTAATCGCTCTTTTCCTTTGTTTGAATTACTTTTAGTATATCGTGGGAGTGTTAAATTTTCCAGGCTTCTTTCCTCATGATGTGTGTCAGATATTTCAACTATCTCTTTCTGCTTTTAATGTTTTTTTTGTTTCTATTTTCCTTAAAACTTACTTGTCGCTTATGCGCTCTGATCATGGAATTCTACAGAACCATATCTGTTGTCTAAATTCTTCTCTTTATCTTTGAGAATACTGTCGAGCATTTACTATATATGCTGGTGGAAAATGGTCGGTTTCCTGTAAGGCTCCAAGAAGCACTTAATTTCTGCTTTTACAAGAGCCAGTTCAGGCCGAAAATGGAATACTGTTGCCGTATATGGGCAGGAGTTATCTTGTCTTCATTTAGCCTTCTCGATATGGTATAAAAGCTTCTCCGCGTCCTTGTAGGTGACAAATTATTTTCAATTCTACAACACCTTTCTCACAGAAGAAAAGTCGCAAGCTGATCACTACACATACTGATAGGTCTTTTGTCCCATTCTTCCTTGCCAATAGCTTCTAGTTCCTCCAAATTCGAAGGAATTCTTTCTCTTATTTTTTATCTTAAATTCTGTAACTACTAGCAAATATTCGCATTTCCTTACAAAATATGTAAATATTCAGTGGAGGTGAATAATTGATGTCCACAACTTTATATACTAGTGTACCCGTGCTGTCAAAACTGATGGCAATTTTTAGAAAGTTTTATTACTGAGATTCAACAAAACAAAGTTTTTGAAACAATCTATTGCGATGCAATAAAGCGGAGATCCAGTCTTTACAATTAAAATAGAGACCGGTGAACCGTTTAATTAACCTGTTTCCTTATTAATATATTTCTTAAATAGAGTTTTTTTTTTCTTATATTATATTTATTATATAACAAACAGGACAATTACATGTATTTCATTATATTACATAATGAACGTTCAGAATTCACTTAATTCAACTTAAGGAGAGGCCACTGAAGTACTTAAAGAATTATTTCTCTAATTACGGTGTTTGACTTGATTGACTTGTTATTTTATTCTTTTTTTTAATTTTAATTGCTAAAATGGAAAAGATGTCTCAATCCAAGCGTTGCAAATCTCAGAAGTCATATCAGAACTCACAATGTAATCTGTTGTGGATTCCGGGTTGAAATCCGGTACCAATAAATAACAAACGCCAGGAATGAATATAGGAAAATAATGTATTAACGTAATAATACAAACTGGTAAAGCAGGTTAGTAGTTCCAGGAATACAGGTTAGTAGCAATATATCTATACAGTCTTTGGTATTGAAGTATCGCTGTATGACTTCTTACTGAGTCTACGTGCTCGCTCACTGTGACTCCTACAACGCTGTTACCTCACCCCTCACTCTTCCGGTTACCTACAACCTTTTACTCTGTCACTCTGGACTCGACTCCTCGGTCTCGCTCTCTCTTACTCTCGTCTCTCTCTTGCAGTAGTATATGTATATACTGGGTGAGTCCATTTGTATAATAGGGGGTGTACCCCTCAATATAATCAGAAGATGTTTAGTCAATTTATTTCTTTATCACTTTCCTTAAGAAGGTTTTGTTTCATTACAGTGAGAGTTCTTTATAAGACTGTCGTATGACAAGGTAAAAATGACAAACGATGTCCCAAATGACCTCAAGTCCGTTGTTAACTGGGGCAAAGAATGCCTTGTTAATTTTAACACCTTCAAAACTAAACTTCACAACATTAATCATCAAAGAGATTCCTTTTTGACTTCCATCAGCAAGGGCTGGTGCTAGCCTCCAGCAAAATGACATGTTGCGCCTTCTCGAGTTGACTTTCTCAACTGACATCAAGTGGAAAGACTATACAGAATTGATTGCTAAGTCAGCTTCAAAAAAGTTGGTTTCCGCTGTCGTGCGAGAAATTTTTTCTCTACAGAATTTATCATACATATCTATAAGTCTGATTAGAATATTGTTGTCACATATGGTACAGTGAACCTAGAATTAAACCTTGAGCTTCTTGATAAAATCCAAAGAAGTATCAACAATATTATTGGTCCTTATCTGGCGGCTCGGTTTCAGTCAATTTCCCACCGACATAAATTTTCTGCCTGTACGTTTTCTATAAATAGTTTTATGGCAATTTTTCGGGTGAGCTCTTTGTTATAGTACCTAGAATTTGGTTTTAATTTTAGTACTAGACTGGGGTTGAAATCTCATCAATTTTCAGTTGAGTTGGCAAGATGTCGCCGTAAGTTTTATGCTAACAGTTTATTCTCTCGTACAGTCTTTTGTTAACTGAGGCAAAGAATGGCTTCACAATTCAATTCATTCCTCCTCTTTATTAATCACCCGAGAGACGCCCTTTCTACCTTTCATTTCTGCAAACCTTCAGGAGATTGACTTGTTGCGTCTTCACGGACTAACATTTTCGGCTGACATGAAATGGAAAGATTATATTGAATCCATTGCTAGGTCAGCTACTAAGAAAGTTGGTTCATTGTGTCTTGTTAGATAATTTTCTTTCAAGAATCTGTTTTAAATATCTACGAGAATACCATTCATTCATGCTTAGAATATTGTTGGTTTGGTGTTCCTGCTATTTATTTAGAGATTCTTGATAAAATCCAAAAAAGATTCAGCAATGTTATTAGTCCTGACCTGGTGCCACGGCTTCAGTCACATTCTCACCCACGTAAAGTTGCTTCCTTGCGCATTTTCTATAAATAAATTCATGGTAATTTCTCAGATGAGCTCTTTGATATGGTACTAGACTGAGGTCGAAATTTCATCAATTTTCCGTTGAGTTGGCTAGATGTAGCCGTAAGTTCTATGCTAACAGTTTATTTTCTCGTAGAGTCTTTTGTTAACTGAGGCAAAGAATGGCTTCACAATTCAATTCACTGCTCCAAAACAAAACTGTTCTTTATTAATCATCTGAGAGACGTCCTTTCTGCCTTTCATTTCTGCAAACCTTCAGGAGATTGACTTGTTGCACCTTCTCGGATTAACATTCTCGGCTGACATGAAGTGGAAAGACAATATTGAATCCATTGCTAGGAATCCTTACCAAGGGAGAAAAGTCGTCACAACAATTATCATGAAAATATTTATAGAAAATTACAAGGAGGCTTCGTTACGGCGGTTGGAAAATGACTGAAGCCGAGATGCCAGATATAGACCTATACCATTGCATCTTCTTCGCTGTATTTTTACATAGCAGAAGCTCTAGGCCGGATGGGATATCAATATTCTAAGTATGGACACATAGAAGACTTATAAATGTTTCCGCTTTTAAAATGAGTTTATGGCTTATCATCTTGACACATAGGTTCTCATACGATCAACGAAGTTAAGCAACGTCGATCCTGGTCCGTACCTAGATGGGTGACTGCTTGGGAATGTCAAGTGCTGTAAGCTGAACGTGCGGGTGGTGTAAAGGATAACGACACAGAATTGGAAATCGGAGAGCCGTTTTCCAATTACACTGAGATTCGTTAGTTTTCACTTACGCAAAAATAAGCTTAGCAAAGGTATGTATCAAACTCTTAAAGCTATGGCTTAATTAGTAGGACATTTAACAATTTGATATCAAAAGAAAAAAGCAAGGAAATCAAGTTATTACAATAAACATCGTAATTAGAGAACTAATTCTCTAAGCACTTCAGTGGCTTCTGCTTAAGTTGAACTAAATGAATTCTAAACCTTCGTTATGCAATATAATAAAATACATGTAATTGGCAAGTTTGTTATAAATATAAGTGTAACAAAATATAATATAACAAATACATATAACAACATATAATATAACAAAAACATATAACAAAAACTATTTAAGAAACGTAATAATAAGAGAACGGATTAATTAAACGGTTCATTATTTTAATTGCGAAATATAGATCTCCACTTTATCAGTAAATCATTCTCATCCCCCAAACATTCTTACAGCGAAAACATATTTCCTGGCTTTAAATAACCTGCGAAATGTTGATAAACCGTAAAATAAAAATCAAGCAAACAATCAAAAGTACATGTCATTAACGACGTAACCCTAATTTCCCGATTGATAGCATTAAATTCCGATAAAATTATTGAGACCGATTGCATAAAAGTAATATCGTTTGAAGAGACCAATATTTGACCGCAGGTGATATCATCTAAAAGAGGTTAAATATGACGTCACTGATTTGAGATCATATGTACCAAATATTAGTGATTCATAGAGATAAGACAGAAAGTGGTTAATCTAATCGGTTCAAACTGGGAGATTAATGACTCAATGATTTTAGATTTTGGGTGCGTATAGATAATAGAATTTACAAGAATTTGATGAAGAGCATCGATAACGCATCAAAAGCTGTGGAGATCCAAGTCACTTCTGTAGGCAACTGAAAACGAATTAGCAGCAAAACGACCGGAAAACGGAGCCTACGGAATGGGATTTGTCTCTTTGGTTTAACTGTAAATAAGCTAACCTTAAATCAGTTTTTAAAGATATATTTCAAAAGGAAATAAATAACAATAATAATAATAATAATAATAATCATGTTCCCCTAAATAAGTTCTGAGTCATAATTTCTCCAATCATCCTACGAAATATAGACGAAATATATGAAAATAAATCCAGAGACGGATATGCAATATGGTTGGTTCTGATCTGGCATCTCGTCTGCAGCCGCTCTCTCACAGACGTGCCGTTGCCTCCCTCTGTCTTTTCTACAAATACTTCCACAGTAATTGCTCCGACGAGCTACTTTCGCTGGTTCCCAAACTGCATGAATTTAAACGTGCCACTAGGTCGATATCTAAGTCCCACCATTTCACTGTCGAAACGGTCATTATCACCAGATCTGTACCGCATTGGAACAGTTGGTTTCGCTTTTACCACCCTTCTTGACACCTCCATTAACAGTTGGCTTCGATTTTTTCCGCCCTTCATGACTCCTGCTTAAACAGCCGGTTTCGCTTGGTACCACTCTTCATGACTGCTATTTAAACAGTTGGTTTCGCTTTGTCCCGCCCTTCTTGAATCCTCCTTGAACAACATGACGCTAGGCTCTGCGATCGTCCGCTAGCTGTTGCCAGTTACGAGGTCGATGCCTGTGTGTTTCAAGTCGTTCTTGCAAACTTCCTTGAAATGTAGTGCAGTGCGGCCTACTGGACGGTGTTCCGGGTTCACCTAATAGTACATGATTTATTTTAATTTGATGACGTACTGTGGTTATACATCTAGTGAATATACTATAACTTTAATGAAATGGACAAAGTCCGACAATTATTTTAAGACATTTTTATGTTTATACATTCTTTTTATAGATACAAATATTTAAGTAAATGCACTGTTTATAATAAACAGTATTAAACAGCATTTACCGGCCTGAATGTCCGAGAAATTTTCATAAAAAATATTCGTCCTACGACAGGAATCGAACCTGTATCCTATACGGAACGGTCATATAGCCTGACGTGCTTTAAACCGATTTGGCCGCAGAGGAGCGTTGGGTAGGCAAGGTCGATTTTACTGTTTTTTTAAATTACAATTTTCCATGATTTTCTCACGTAAATGTGGTAATCCAGAGATATAAGGTATATATTAATAAATATACACTATTTACATTATTGGGACTATTCTCCTCATCTTTGTCGATATATTTATTACAACGTTTCGACCGTTGTACGCTCCGGCCTTCTTCAGGTGGTTGGAATGTCGAATTTAACCATTTATTTCGCTCAGTGAGGTAGACTGTTCTAGTTCCACGTGCCATGTTTAATGGATGCCAGTTATCAGTTATCTCCTGTTAATTTCCCTCTGAAAGTTCTCCACTGACTTAACCGGGTATTGAACTCACACTCTTTGGGTCCTATCACTGGATCTAACTGACTGTGCCATATGTCCTTGAGGACATTCCAACCACCTGAAGAAGGCCCGAGCGTACAACGGCCGAAACGTTGTAATAAATATGGCGACAAAGATGAGGACAATAGTCCGAATAATGTAAATAGTGTACATAACACCTGAACTCAGAAATATACACAGATACGTTATCTTCCCTTCATATACATATAAACTACTCCGTAACGTAATCCTCTACCTCGAGTCGCTCGCGAGCCTTGTGCAAGATGAACTTTACTGTAAAATAAGAAGAAAAAAATTAAAAGAGAAATGAATGAAACAAAGAAAGATGTCATTATTACGATTTAATACGTAATAGACAAAATAACAAATGAATAATACTCTAACCAATTTAATTGCTTACATTGATGCCATAATGGTAAAGTTCAATATGGATGATCACAATAACGTATAAAGAAACGGAAATTTTAACGCAATATATTTAAAAAGAACAACATCGAACAACAATGTAAACAGAGTATAATATTTTGATAAAGTAATTATCAACACATCTAAAAAGACTATCAACCACATACTAAAGAATACAAAGTAGTCATGAGTGGTGAGGAAGATTATCCACTGGGAACTATGCAAGAGTCTTAATTTTAGCCAAACCGATTACTGCTTTAACTGATAGAATATATCCTACAGAATAAAATATAAAAATGACACCGAGATTCAAATGCATCATACAATCCACAAAGCAGATTAGGAAGATGTAAAATAAAACAAAAATCATATGCCCTAGAGGTTTCACAGTTATGGAAGGCTATAAATGATTGAATGATTTTTGTTACCAGTTTATCAACACTTTTCAGGTTATTAAAAGCCAGAATATATTTTTGGATTGTAAGATTGTTAGGGAGATAAAAATGATATATTAATAATATCATTTAACCCATAACGGGGAGAAAAGTTAGGATCTTACCTTTCCCAAAGGAATTTACACGCAAATGAATATAACGAACCCCACAAGAAATAAAACTCAGTTCTTCGACCTTGTTGAATCATCTTTAATATGTTAGTTTCACTCTTCTCAGTCCTTCTTGAATCTTCTTTGATCAGTTGATTTCGCTTTTTCCCGCTTCTCTTGACACCTTTTTCAACAGTTGATTATGAGCCATTATTCATTACACAAGCTGCATATCCAAGCTGGAAACACCCGGTATTCCCAAGCGGTCACCCACGTAGGCATGTTGCTTAACTTGGCTGATCGAACGAGAAGGGCTGTTTCAACGAGATAAAACCATAAAACTACGAAATGCTATAAAGCGCATATAAAAGTCCTTTGCTAATTCGGTTTTGCCGGTGAGCTGATAATAAAAATAATAACAATATTAATTGTACATAACTACATTGGTAAATATGACGGAAACATGACTTCGCCTTTACAGCGATGTGGTACGAACATTCCACGCTGTCCGTAGCCTAGAATGGACACTGGAATCTCATGTGGAATACGAGCATAGTGACTATACTGACAAGCGCTTGGAGGGTAATCGCCCTGATATCACTCCAGCGGACAAGAGCTGTTATTAATGGATCTTGATAGATGTTGCGGTACCTTGGAACAAGAACATCGTGAAGGCGGAATTATGGATACATCAATATCTGGCAGGACAAATCGAAGAAATATACCGTGCAAGATCTTAAGTAGACTTTTTCAGACATATACGTTATTTTTATATAAACAAATATTTAAGCAAATGATCTGTTTATAATAAACAGTATTAAAAACAAATTTTTAACCTTGCTACACAGAAATTTCCTCTGTAGTTAAATGGTATAGCACGTCAGTCTGTATGGTACTTCCGTGTAGAATACTGGTTCAATGCCTGTCGAAAGGTGCATATTTTCCTTGAGATTTCTCGGATATAAAGGCAGGTAAGTTTTGTCAATATTGTTTGTTATAAACAGAGCATTTACTTAAATATTTGTATCTATAAAAATAATGTATAAAGAAAACATATATTAAAATAATTGTCGGGCTTAATTTTTTTATTTTATATATATATATATATATATATATATATATATTGAACAAAAAATATTAAAAAATTAAAATCTTCAGACACACTAAGTTGCATATTCATATTCTTTCGTTTTTATTATTATTTCATTTAGATTCCTCGACTAGTTTCGGCCAACATGGCCATCATCAGGAGAAAAAAATCTGCGTTTTGGTAACAGTCAACTAAAGAAATGAATGCCTTGATGGAGAAAATGAACTTTTGTTTGTAGTTTTCATTTGTTTTTTTTTAATTATTTAACATGCATTTTGGTCAGTCCTTGTGTTGGTCAAACAGTCTCTTTTAAGTTGTTATTTAAGATAAGAGATGGATGGATTCATGCTACTCTGAATTCCCTTGGTTATTTTGACAGTTTTAGTGGTTCCTGGAAAGGGGATGTTTCTCTGTTAAGTGGTTGTGTGTTATTTGGTTCTTAGGAAGTGAGAGAGTATGATGTTTATAAACGTGTATATTACTATGGGTGTGTGTTAACATTTGGCTCATTAAGGAGTGAGT